ATGCAACCGAAACTGTATCATGTTAAGACAGTAATTACACGACCAGGATATGTTATTTCAGTACTCTTTGCGAACAGGTTAGCGAATTACATGCCAGGTGTCACTCGATTTAATGAGATCATATATTCGTCGCATATTCGTCACCTCTTTTGCTATCCAAGATGTGCAAAGATTCTTTGATCAATAGCAGTATCTTTGTCCGCTTTCTTGACACAGTGACATTCGTCAGACTAAACTCATGTACCATGCAGAAAGAATGGACAATGATGCCGGAATGCGCGATCTTCCCATTTCTCATAGCTGTGAGAAGATCCGCAATTCGCTTACGGATTGAGGCGGATTTCATTGATGATTGAACGCGCCCTTGTTCAGCCCATCTTAGAGATGCGACCCTGCATCCATCTCAGAGATGCGATCCTGCATGCATCCACTCAAGTACTCAAATACCATACAACCGTAAAGTGTATAAATGGTACCAATAGGCAACTAGAAGCACGAGGATTCACACTTAACATTTTTATGAATTTTCAATTCTAGACACTGTCACAGCCATTGCATAAAATCTTATGTACGACGTTCATGTCTTTCGTTCGTACCGCTCAGCGAAGCTTCTGATAATTTTGTAATCTAAAAGTGCTGTCAAATTGACAGTTGACTGAAAAGTCTTCAATCTTCAAGATCTAATTCATTCTGTTAAAAATTTTTCAATGAATGGAATGACCCAGTGATTGAAATATTTGGATTATCTATAATTTAGGTTAAAGCTTCAACAGGTTCTTTTCGATAATTTCTTTACTCCAGTCAGTAAAGAATTTTCAAAACCTTCGATGTGTAAATTAAATCCAAAACTTTTTGGATGCTAATAACAAAAAACATTCAACACAGCGGATGAAGCTACAAATGAAAGCCTAAGTAAGCTTTTTCTCATGTATTAAAAACAGAAAAACAAAAGAATCTTTTCACATACCACCAGCTCTAGCTTTTCAACATCAGTGGTGGCGCGTTGCTGGATTACCTCAGCCGGAAAACCCATGGCTGTGATTTTGCTGGCGACATATTCCGGATCCGTTAAATTCAGATCATAGATCACCTCGGCCTTCGCAGACATTAAAGAAACGGACACCTTGGATACACCTGCAAAACGCAGATATATAAATAGAGGCGAAAACAGCAGGTAAGGCAAACATGTTACCGACGATCTTCTTGACCATCTGTTCCACCTTCGACACGCAAGATACGCACATCATTCCCTGAATCGCTATCGAGCATTTCTCATCTTTCTCAGTCTTCTGCCGCCTTGGCTCGAAATATGCTGAACTATCACCTAATCCAACTGCTGATCGGTCGCTGCTGTGTGCATATTCGTCTGATTTCACGGATGAATACCTGCTCTCCTTTTCGTCTAACGCATCTGAAGTATTAACTAACAAATAAACAGCAGAAGTAAAAAAATCAACTTTACACCTTCTGTAATCTTTGCCATTCTAAGGATTCTACAGACACCCATTGTTCCATGTATATCGAGGCGACGAGCAAGTAAATGAGTAACGTAGGTGTTAGCATATGGGTAAGTGAACGAACAGACAATAGAGTAAATAACGTTGTCAGTCGGTAGGTCCGTAAGTACGTGTGTAATTAACCAAACCAGATAGATACATTTGTGTAATTAAGCATGCAAATAAGTAAGAAAAACAATTGATTAATATAAGCAATTTGAATGCGAAGTCCGTAAGTAAGTCTACAAGCAAGGCAAATTACTACACAATAACAGTACGTAGTCAGATCAACAGATATGATGGCAAATAGGTACGCAACGAACTACGCAAATAAGCAAATAAGTAAGTGTATAAATATATCACTAAGTATCTGCGCAAGTAAGCAAGTCGTTAAGTGGGTAAGAAACTAGGTAAATAGAGCATGTTAGAGCCATCGCAACAAAATCTTCACGTAGAATAAAAGGAGGCAACTTGTCTGGATGATGGTAGCTTTGGAACAAGAGAATCTATTTTAATTTAACAAAAAAGCCAAAAGATCATTCGCAGGTGATGAAGGAAGAAAGCAAAAAAAATCTCAGCGGCTACTGAACGTGAGACATATGAACGACCGCATATTAAAGACCAAATGAAAGCGATAGTTGAGAAAGAAAATTTCCAAACCGGAAGATTACAGAAGCCTTGGTAACTAAATCAAACCAATGCATTCAAAGATGCTGGCCTGCAGCTACATTTGTATTGGAAAGAAGTTATGAAGCGATTAGCACTATCGAGGTTAAAATCTCCATAGTGAAAGTCTGTACCTGATCGATGATTAAAATAGCATTCTGCTTTAATGTAATATATCTTTCCCTGAAGAAAGATCAAAGACATGATGCGAAACGTTTCAGAACATGTGCACAGTAAATCCAATAGGCGATGCCATCCCATAAGGAACACGACTGTTGCACAGTCCAAACATTGGCAACAAATTAACAAAAATATTTTAATATGAACCTTTGTCTTGCGCCCGAAACTACTTAGTCGAAAGATAAACAACTGTGACTACCTGCAATTCCAAGCCACAGAGGTTAATATACACCACACCTGTTGTCCGAACTATCTGTTCTCGACGGAAACTTTTAAGCACTCGGAGATATAGACACGTTCAGATGCGTAATTCAGTCGAATTGGTCCTGAACGGTAATTTGTACGCATCTATTTTCTTGTTTACTGTTTCATTTATTTTGTGCTTCACATTCCGTAAACTGCGTGAAATTCCTATCTACCATAGAAATAAACTTAACTGGAGCTAGTGGAATCAGTAACTTGTGAACATTTTGACTACTCTCAAGAATGGTCACTAACAAAAACAGCAAAACACCCGGTGATCCTCTAACCAACTGACACAGAGAACAGGCACCGGAGACCGCGGGTTGGCGAACAGTGCACAGAGTCAAATTCAGGGGCCTATTCCTAGCCTGGCTTTATAAACTGGTCCAAATTGATGAAGAAAAATGTTGAGAATTTTTTTGCTATGGTGACCGATCACATGTGTCAAATCATAGACAAAAGTCTTTTCCGAAAAACGGCTAAAAACACGGGTTTCTACGTTCTATGCTTTAGCAAACGGATAAGCGCCTCAATGATCATTTAACACAGTACTGAAATGTACTGCTCCCTTACTTCTCGTTTGCTGATGGAGGAGACGCTTCGTATTAAGAAATTCCGAGAAATTTACATCCAACTTCAACGAACTTTGTCGCTGTAGTGTGAACAAGACTGTAAAAAAGATTTAACTGAAGCTACGCACAGCAAGAACAAGCGGCAAAGATAAATGTCAAAAAACTTTCAACCGGAGTTGCAGCTTCCATCAGCCACCAAAAACAAAACCGAAACTTAATTTAAGACAGTACTTTGAAGATCAAAGTTCAGCTTGTAGCTTACCGAACTGCGAGAGTACATCCGCCTCATAACCGATATCCCTGATGACGTCGGCGATGTCTGAGGCCGTGCAGCGATCCTCGTCATACTTGACCGTTGCAGAGTGCGTCGCGACGCTGACCTGAACATCCACGACAGCAGGAAGTCTCGCTAAGATCACCCTTTTTATGTGTTCTTCGCACGAATGGCAAGTCATGCCTTCGATCGCCAATCGGCACTGGTCAATTTTCATCTTATATCGGGGCGTTTTTCACCTTCAAAAAGCCAGACTTCGTACGTCACCAGCAAAGGTAAAAATAGATATTGCGGTAAGGCAGTAGAACAACAGTCAAAAACAGTTTTGCATCAGTCCAACCACATGCACATGTCTGCTCAAACACATGAAAGAAACCATGTAGGACACCATCTCATGTACATATAGAAATACTATCTCGTCATGGCGCATGCTTAACGTCGCGCTACGAAGACATATGATTACCAACCAGTGCAATTTTGATTGTCAGGTCAAGTAGAGAAATCCCGGTTGTATGCTGCTTTGCACCCTATAATGAGGGCCCGTTGCAGCCGTTCGACGTGAATTTTTTCTTCAACTGCTAATTCCCTTGACCAAAAAATTTTCGCTATTATGCTTCAGTACAACTGTCCTAAGAATAGCAACAGGTAGTTCATCTGCGGATAACATAGACAACATGATGCTTTATGAGGTCATGCCAGAGTGTGCGAGATTTACGGTCATGCTGTCTGATGTGTTCACTTTATTGCTGCAATTTGCCTTAATAACACATAGTAGCTTTTTAAAGCTCAAAACAGGTATAAACGTTAATTTAATTTAAAATGGAATAATATTATGGTGGACATCGCATAAATCCAGCGTCCCTTTCCTGGCATATGGCATCGCCACTTTTATATCGTGTGCTATGAGGCTATATAAAAAAGTTATGGAACAATAGAATCTGCGCAGCCGAAAATCAAAATATATCTAGCATCATTTTTCTAGCTACAACTACCTCTCACTCGTCGAGAAAGTTGATTTTCCATGAGTTATGCATAATCCGACAACTCCGGCGCACCAACGTAGCTTGTTGTAGCGTATTAGCTCCTGAAAAATTGCTCTAGATAAGTGAGAAGTAACTCTGACAAAAATAAATGAGGTGAGAAGCACCGGGTATGGCAGATACTCAGATAAGTAGTCTGTTTCAGTGGTCCACTAAGTAACGAACAATTCCGGCATACGAACATACTTTGATATTTATGTTGCAATAGAATTTAGATAAGATCAAGTTTATCAGTTTCAGCAACAACGTTTCTATCAGCGCAAAGTGGTATTTTTATGCCACTAAGTTAAATGGCTGCGTTGAGCAAATTAAATAAACAAAAAAGATGTGATTATCGCTCTGAAAGTTGACGCAAAGCATAGAACAATTTTTCGTTTTCGAGCATCTGTCAAATCTGATAATTAAGAGCACACCTGAGTTTCTAGTTCCTCAATGAAAGAAGCTCTCTTCAGAAAATAATAATGAACTACATCATGCGTTATTCTGAAACGGTTCGCCATAACCGTATGTTTGAACCAACTGTTATAGAGACCACTCGGTCGCACATCACTGCTCTTTCCATCGTACATTTGCGATTGGTCAGAAGAGCAGTAGGGAGAGTGGTTGAATAACCTCTCTTCCGGAGTCTGGAGTAAGCCTTTGGTCCGGATGATCAATCAGCGGCAATAAGCAACCGAGAACGAACAAAGCATCGTGGCCATATTATTTCAAAGGTGCAGTGATGAGCCCTATAAGCCTGAGCAATTAAAATAAACCCATGCGTACTTCCGGCAACAGTTGCTGTGGCACAAAATTTCTACCAAACTTTACTTTCTTCATAGCGCACTTTCAACATAGACTGTCTGTGTATATCAGTGATCTCAGCAAATCGCAAATGTTTGATTAACTTATGAGTCATCTCGCCGAGATTCTTCTAGTTCACCACAGCATCGCATAACACTTCATCATATCACCTATCCATCTTCACTTCTTCAATTTTCTCTAGACTTAATGGTTATTTTTAAATTAAAGTGATTTTACGCTTTTCAAAGTAGCAGGTAAACTTCTTAAGCAATTTCCAAAATGAATATAAAAGTTGATTCTGGATCAAGTTTAATATCGGGATTTAATGTAAAAAAGTGAAGTTGTTAAATTTAAATATTCACATTATTTAGTCCGCTTCAAGATCCTTGCTACCTCAGTGGAATCCGAAGAATGATCGGTAACAAAATTGCACGCACCCATATTCGGCAAATCATGATGCCAGGGTTAATCGTGATGGACTGGTTCTTCCGCATTTTTGATGACGAGCTCTGTTCTGTTGCTGGAGAAGAAAGTCACTCTTGCTTGAGTTAAATGTTTTTGACACGAAAGAAAGTCTACAGCACTATGGCAATGCGCTCATAGCCATAGTGATTTCAAATATCACACATTTCTGATAATTTTATCATACAGCAAAGAAAGTCATGATCAACTTTTCCTGTCAATTTCCGCATTCGTATTTCACTTGCATTTCGCTGTGACTGCATTCAAGAACTTTAAGATCTGGCTAAAAAGAAAGATCTTAGAGGAAGTCGCGGTTGAACTGACAAAAAGTATCGCATACAGACTGGAAAACAGGTTGTTCTCAGAACAGTTATGTTTACCTTTCTATGTAAGAAAAATTTGGTTTATGCAAGATTGCTCATACTTGCAGGTAACTGAATATACATAAAATAATTATCCATTAATTCACCATCTTGCAGCCGAATAATAAAATGTCGTTAAATTAACATTTAATCTTACTTTCAATTGGCAATACAAACGTTTATTATTGTTTTTACTTGCTGAAGATTATATACATACCGTTAAATTTGTGAACTGCAAAAAAAGTACGGTGGAATCTTATACGAACCTCTGAATGTCAGACTTAAGAATGATTTCGGTAACAAACAAATATGATTTAGCTAAATACTCATTGAAAACATCATATATCTTGAATGATGTTCTAAGGCAATTCTTCATGATGCATGCTACGACAATCCTTGCGCAAGCGTTTCCAGTTGTTTTAAATTGAAATTTGCAATATTCTGGATAATAACATTGCAGAAGGAATAAACAGGAAAATACAATTAGTTGAGCATGGTCGTCTTGTCAACGAAAGGTTGAACTTACTTGCCGTTGCATTACGAACGCTTCCATGAAAAAGGCGAACCAGCTACGACTCACTTATTCGATCGGACAAGGAACGGCCAAGAACGTTCTGGGGCAAACATTTCGACGGATTGTGCAGGAGACTCGGGTTGTCTTGCATCAAGGATCATACCCTAGCGCACGATCGATAGCACTTGCGGTACTGCTTGCGCTACTGCTTACACAAGCTGAAAGAATAAGATTCTCGAAATTGCCTGCCAGATTTCTCAACTTTGAGGGTCATCATTCTCCTCTTGCAGTTTGTTTTGAGCCATTTACGCTTTATCGAATTCCCATGTAATTATGGTCATTTCAGTTGAAATAAAAATTGCGACTTCGCAAAATTGAATGAAAGAGAGACAGCTACACAATTATTACCAATTCTATAGACTCTAATCGCATTTTTG